CACAGTGCATGGCCTTGCAGTCCCTAGAGTTCACTGTGCTCTTTCACACAGTGTCTTCTCCTGTGTCTGCTGTCTGTCTACAATGTCCTGCCAATCACTGGTCAAATTCTGTTTATCTCTTCCCTCAGGGACACCCCATGTCTCACTCCTCCCACCATACCCTCACCTTCACCCACAGCCTTTGTCACACTTCACTGATTATATCTTTATACATCCCACAAAGTTCCCTAATCACAGGTCCAACTCTGTTTACCTCTTCCCTCGAGGACAACCCATGCCTGACTCCTCCCGCCACGCCCTCGCCTTGACCCACAGCCCTTGTCCCACTTCACTGTGATTATATTTTTACACACCCCACAAAGTTCCTTGAGGGCAGACAGTGTCTTTCTTTTTTTTTTTTAAATAATTTTTAAACATGTCTTTATTGATTTTAGAGAGAGAAAGGGAGAGGAAGAGAGAGAGAGAAATATCGAAGTGAGAAAGAAACATCGATGGGCTGCCTCCTGCATGTCCCCTACTGGGGATTGAGCCCACAACCCGGGCATGTGCCCTGACTAGGAATAAAACCAGTGACCCCTTGGTGCATGGGACGACAGTCAACCAACTGAGCCACACCAGCTGGGCCAGACAGTGCCTTTTCCTTCTCTCCGTTGCGAGCCCAGTGCCTGACACTTTGCCGATGCTTAAGTGTTTGCTCTCACCTGTTTCCAAGAGTAAGCTAACTTTGAAACTACGAAGTGCTATTAGGAAGAGGCCTGGGCCTCTCTGAGCGTATACTCCACTTTCCTGAGGGTCTCGACCTTCCTCTTCCAGGCGCTCTTTTCTTTCTCAGTTCAGAGACTGCTTGGGAGAAGAAGGGACTCTGCCAGCTGTGCAGGGACTATTCTTTCCTTTATTTACTTTCCATGTGTCTGACTGAGATCCATGAGGAACAAGCTGCCCCGGATATGCAAGATAGACTCCAGTTTGCTTTTCCTAGTCTTCAGAAAGGTAATAAGGAGGCTGTAATATGGGGGCTGTGGGCCTGGCCCTGGAATGCAAGCCTTTTTGACAGTGGGACTGCTTAGGTCAGGGGAGAGGCACAGAAAATCAGCCTGGGCCAGGGCTGCCTTCCAGCAGAGCTGGGGCTTGGACCCTCAGAGAGGAGCGGATCTGTCGCCAGCTGTAGGAGCGTTCTGAGGACCGGCTTCCCACCCTCAGCACCTCCTCCCCAGCCCCAAGGGGCTCCCTCTCCTGCTCATAAACCTAGGTAGCAAGCCCCTGCTTACCTGCTCGCCCTGCCTCCTGTCCAGTGCTGGAGGTATGCCGCCCGGAGCCCTCCTGGTGTCCCAGTGCCGGCCCACATGCCTGTTTTCCCAGAAGCGGTGGCCTTGGTCTTCATTCCCCAGTGCATTCCGGCCCTTCACAGCTCAGTAGTCCTTGTCTGGGAAGACATTCTGGAGGTCAGCATCCTTTTCCGCACAGGGAAGAGAGGGTGAGGTGAGGTCCAGAGAAATGCTGGGTATGGCTTCTGCCACATGGCCTTCTCCCAACCTCTCATTCTGCTTCTGAAACTCCGCAGGGGCACCAGCTTCTGCTTCTGTGGGAGCCAAGGCACCCTCTCAGCCGAATCTCCGAAAGAGCTCCAGTCAGATGGACCAGCGCCTACCTCTCCTGCAAAGTGTGTGTTCCTCGTGGAAAGGGACTGTGCCCCATTGGATGTTTTCTGAACAAAGTGTCCTAAAGTTGTGGCACGACAGAGTCCAAGAAAGACCACCAGAGAATTGAACTCCAAATAAGAGCCGTTATTAGCTGGCCGGGGTCTGATTCCGAACACCCCTGTGGCAGAGTCTTCGGAGATCAGCCCCGACCTCCCTACACACACAGCTTTTAAAGCTACGCACTGGGGCAGAACAAGCAAGCACGTACAAAAGCGAAAATATGCAGTTAGGCAGTTGGCTAACCTGGCTAATCTGGGAACCTGACCTTTCTTGAACATGTCGTAGACATTTCCTGACCTTTCTTGGACATATCTTAGACATTTCTTGGTCCAGGGAGTATTCCAATTACTGAGGTTATTTTGATCTCTATTCGGTTGATTACATTCTTTATAAAACAGGTTCAGCTAGAGGACACACAGTGACTTCCCCAATCACCAATTATGGAGCTATAAACAAGTCAGCACAATCAATTACCAGTCATCAATTATGGGGTTATAAACATGTCAGCCTAAGCTGGAGGTGAGTGGCAGAGCGGAGCCCAGATTTCCTGACATCTCACCCAGAGCTCTCCCTACTGAGGTCTATAGCACCCTTCCAATTCCCTCGCTACTTACACACGCCTTGTCACTTGGCTGACTTCCAAGTCCTCCCCAGTTCCCCCCACTCCATGGCAACTTCACAAGATGTGATTTTGAGAGGATGACCAGGGCTTGGGCAGTGGGTAATCAGGCCTGGCTAAGGATTTCAGACTAGTCATTGACTCAGGAAAGAACAAGAACATCAATGTAAAGGTCTTCACCCACAGCCTTTGTCACACTTGTCCTATTAACCCAGGACAAGAATCCGGAGAGGTCTGAGACATGGCAATCTTTTTAAAAAAATTTTTTTCTTTACTGATTTTTTAGAGAGAGAGGAAAGGAGAGGGAGAGAGGGAGAGAAACATTGATGAGAGAGAACATCAATTGGCCACCTCCTGCACTGGAGATTTGGCCCACAACCTGGGCATGTGCCGTGACCGGGAATTGAACTGGCGACCTCTTGGTGCATGGGTCGTCGATGCTCAGCCACTGAGCCACACCGGCCTGGTGAGACATGGAAATCTATAGAGAAAAGACACACAGGACAGTAATACCAACCACAAACCAAGGTTAAGCAAGGGTCCAGACCTCAGCTGTTGATCCAGCTGCAGCACCAGAGGCCCAGAGCAGCTGGCATCAGGGAGATGATTGAAAGGTTCCAGCCTCATTCAGACCCAGAGTAGAACAGCACTGGGGCAGGGGGTCCTGTCCCCCTGACACCACAGCCTCTAGACTGGGGTGGGGTGCACGGGAGTAGTCACTGAACTTGTCAGCCAGGGTGCAAGTAGGGTTGTGAGAGCAGATCTTAGCAGGAACCGCGCCACTCAGGTCGGGTTCTCAGTCTGCAGCATGTCCCTGGAAGAGTCACAGGTTAGTGAGGTTAGAAGGAATCTCTCACTTTTCTCATTTAAAATGTAAATGTTCTGTATGTTAATGGGGAAGGGGATAGGTGGTGAATAATAACACACCATCACTACACCCTGAAGACTCACTTCTATCCCCATCCCGGGGCAGGTATAAGAAAGCATGTGGGCTTGAAAGGGAGCACCCGGCATGGAAGGAAGGGGGACTTGGAGGGGAACCTGGAATGGAAGGAAGGGGACTTGGAGGGGAACCTGGAATGGAAGGAAGGGGGACTTGGAGGGGAACCTGGAATGGAAGGAAGGGGACTTGGTGGGAGAACCTGGAATGGAAGGAAGGGGACTTGGAGGGGAACCTGGAGTGGAAGGAAGGGGACTTGGAGGGGAACCTGGAATGGAAGGAAGGGGGACTTGGAGGGGAACCTGGAGTGGAAGGAAGGGGACTTGGAGGGGAACCTGGAGTGGAAGGAAGGGGACTTGGAGGGGAACCTGGAGTGGAAGGAAGGGGACTTGGAGGGGAACCTGGAATGGAAGGAAGGGGACTTGGAGGGGAACCTGGAGTGGAAGGAAGGGGGACTTGGAGGGGAACCTGGAGTGGAAGGAAGGGGACTTGGAGGGGAACCTGGAGTGGAAGGAAGGGGACTTGGAGGGGAACCTGGAGTGGAAGGAAGGGACTTGGAGGGGAACCTGGAGTGGAAGGAAGGGGACTTGGAGGGGAACCTGGAGTGGAAGGAAGGGGACTTGGAGGGGAACCTGGAGTGGAAGGAAGGGGACTTGGAGGGGAACCTGGAGTGGAAGGAAGGGGGCTTAGAGGGGAACCTGGAATGGAAGGAAGGGGACTTGGAGGGGGAACCTGGAATGGAAGGAAGGGGGACTTGGAGGGGAACCTGGAGTGGAAGGAAGGGGGCTTGGAGGGGAACCTGGAGTGGAAGGAAGGGGGCTTAGAGGGGAACCTGGAATGGAAGAAAGGGGGACTTGGTGGGAGAACCTGGAGTGGAAGGAAGGGGGCTTGGAGGGGAACCTGGAGTGGAAGGAGGGGGCTTAGAGGGGAACCTGGAATGGAAGGAAGGGGGACTGGAGGGGAACCTGGAGTGGAAGGAAGGGGGCTTAGAGGGGAACCTGGAATGGAAGAAAGGGGGACTTGGAGGGGAACCTGGAGTGGAAGGAAGGGGACTTGGAGGGGAACCTGGAGTGGAAGGAAGGGGGCTTAGAGGGGAACCTGGAATGGAAGGAAGGGGACTTGGAGGGGGAACCTGGAATGGAAGGAAGGGGACTTGGAGGGGAACCTGGAGTGGAAGGAAGGGGACTTGGAGGGGAACCTGGAGTGGAAGGAAGGAGGCTTAGAGGGGAACCTGGAATGGAAGAAAGGGGGACTTGGTGGGAGAACCTGGAGTGGAAGGAAGGGGACTTGGAAGGGAACCTGAAATGGAAGGAAGGGGGACTTGGTGGGGGAACCTGGAGTGGAAGGAAGGGGACTTGGAGGGGAACCTGGAATGGAAGGAAGGGGGCTTGGAGGGGAACCTGGAGTGGAAGGAAGGGGTACTTGGTGGGGGAACCTGGAGTGGAAGGAAGGGGACTTGGAAGGAAACCTGAAATGGAAGGGAGGGGGCTGGAGGGGAACCTGGAGAGAAAGGAAAACAAAGATGCAGCTTAGCCAGTCCTGCAGTGAGCGGCCAAACACAGCTTCTCCAGAATGGTGGTCATCTAACTCAACTTTATTGCCAGACAATCTTCCCTGGGAGAGTAAGGCCCCTTGTGCATCCACCCTCAGCCCCTGGGGCAAGGTGAACCTGGGGAGGAGAGGACAATTCCCTAGGAGCTGGGAAGAAACAGTGGTCAGGACAGGGTTCCCCAAGGGGCTATCAGACCAGGTGAAGGCCAGGCTTTTCCTTCTTTCTCAATCTCATTCTGTTTCTCCTGAGGTTTTTCATACTTGGTGTCTTGCATCTCACCTGGCCTCAAATGAGCCACAGCCCCACGGCCAGAGTTCCCGGGAGCAGGACGAGTGATGCTTTGGCCAGGAGGCCAAAGGAAGCTGAGGCCTCTTTGAGGGGTAGCCCAGATCTGGAACAGGAGAAGGAAGGAGGTGGGGGATGCTCACCAGAGGGAGAGGTGAGGTACAGACACCTACCCCAAATCTCACAGAGGGGTCTCAAGTTCACAATCAGTTAATGTGGCTTTACAAGTGTCTCTGGAAATATTTATTCTCTTCACAGAAGCTCAGGGACTGAGGTCTGGGGAGCAGTTGCCAGCTGAGCAAAATAATAGAAGAGACCTTTGGAAGTTGGGAGTTCTAGGAAAAGCAGGGAGTCTCCCACCCAGTCCAGGGGTCAAGTCTTTATGGGAGGGAGTTAGTTCTAGATTCCATGTATGCTCTTGGGGAAAACTGAGGGAGGGAGGTGGTGGCCTTGAGGCCCTGCAGTAGCTCAGGCCTGTCTGGGGTCCTGCTACCTGCACAGAAGGGCCCAGCAGGGACGAGACAGGAACTAGTGTTGCTGATGGGCTTGCTAGGCCTGCAGGTGCAGGAGAGGGCATTGTCCCCAGGCCTCTGGGATGTGTGAAGGACAGAGCCTTCATGTGCTGTGTCAACACCGTCCTCAGGGGATATCCAGCTGCAGGCCACGTCCAGGCCTGCTTTCCCTGCAGAGCATGTCAGGGACATCTCATAGGGGCCTTCCCCAGAGATCGCAAAGCTCAAAATGAGGTGAGGCTTCAGCAGTCATCCTGGATGAAGGGGGGACACAGAAAAGAAGGTGGGGTAGGGGTGCTGTCCACCCAATCAGCAAATAAGCAAAAACCAACAAAACTCAGCCACCGTACAACCCAGGGTCCCCCAGGCAGCTGCTGAAGCAGACAGATCTTCCTGTGGCATCTGCTACCTCCCTCTATACCTTGCCTCTCTCTCTTACTTTGGCACCCCACCTTCCTCCAAATCCCACTCTACCTCCTTGGTCCCGGAACACATTGTCACCCTCTCAGGAACATTTATAGTTTAATCAGTGTCTCAACAAGATCCAAGGTAGATTATCAGTCAATGTCACAGACACTAAGAAGGAACTTGTATCAAGTAGAGACGAGTCACTGATTAGTAGCCCTCAAATCACTCAGGGGGATTAAAAAAATAAAAAGGCTCAGAATGGAGGTGGCATTCACCCCACCCCCACCCCACTGTAAAATCTCACTGGGAGAGAAGGTCTCCTGGATATCTCCACACAGAGCCCCTGACCTCTCTATGTTGGGTACTTCCACAGGAATGGCCTCCATGCCCTGGTGCTGGGGTTTGGGTACACAGGGGACAGTCCACCCTCCAGTCCCAGCCCCTCAAGTCATAACCCCAAGTCCTGAGACCCCCCTCCTTTGCACGGGAAGCTCAGGAAAAAGAGAAAGCAGATTTTTAGTTCCTGTACTGAACTCACAGCAGATACATAGAGGGCAGTGCTGCAGGGTGGAGATCTGGGTCGTCCTCTGGTTGACTTGAGATCGGAAAGGCCCTGAGTGCTCCTGGCTCAGACTGCTGATGCACAGGAAGTAGCTGGGATTCAGGAAGCTCACTCAACCTTGGTAGCAAGGGTTGGTCACCATGATGGTAGGTAAATGTCCCTCTTTCCCTGGCACCGCAGTAGCAAGCCTTATGTGGGAGGACCAGGTAAAGTTCTCAACCTCTTCATCAGACAGTATTTCCAGGGGGACACTGATGGGCTCCTGATGGACTACAACCACTTCCTCAGGATCCGCCCCATCTCCAGAATCTCCTCTGGCTGCAGATAAAGGAAGAACAGAGATGCTAACAGACCAGCGGGTGTAACTGGGCTGCTGACATGGCAGCAGGCTGTGGTCTCTCTCTCAGCTGAGCTACTGCTGTGGCCCCACTCAGTCTGGTCTCCTAGCTGCCTCTTCTGGCTTTTGCTTTCTACTGAACCGGACTTGAGCACCTCCCAAGAGTGGGCTTCCCTCTGTGCCCCAACCCTCCAAATTTTACCTTCTCTGTCTGCCATCATGGGTCTACTCTTCCTTCTCTATCTCCAGGTTTCCTCATCCCCTGGTCCTGCCCTAAAGCCATATCCTATTCCTCTTCACTCCAGAAGAGCTGACGCATTCAGCCCCAGAGAAATGGACTTGCTAGCCCAAGGCTCAGCAGATCCAAACAGAGGGCGAAGGACACACTCTTGTCCTGGAGCTGCGGTCTCTCTCACCTTCCCGGAGCAGCTGGGCAGGGGCAGCCAAGGAAGGGCCCCCATGTCGCAGCCCCAGCCCCGTGCCCCAGGAGGTGTGACTTGATCAGCACCCAAGGCTGTGAAGAAAACAAGCTGTCAGGAGGTTACTAAGGACTGTGACTTATGGAGAGTCCTGAGGAGAGGGAAGTATTCTTACCCTATCTCCAACCCTCTGACTGCCTCCTTTCTCACAAAGACCCTCCCTCTCCAGCTTGGAAAGATTTCTCTCTCTGAGCCTCATTGAAAAGATGGTTTATCCTCTGGCTCATGTTTCATGTGCATTAACTCAGCTCAGATCCCACTTCCTAAGTAAAACCTTCCTAGACTCTCCACCTTCTGTATTTCCAGAGCCCTCCTAGCCGGACCGTAACATACCACATCTCCCAATTGCTTAGAAAACTTTCTATCCAGCCTTGGCCGCTCTTATGTAGCTGTGGTCATTTGATCTCCTGAACATCTTTATCTCCCTGAAGAGACTCCATCTTTTGGGACATATCTGTATGTCCCACTGTTTCTGGCTCCCATGCTAGACACATGTAGCTAACTGATATGTTTGGAATGTGTGAATGAATGAATGAAGTCTTTCTATTTCCAGCTAGTTATATTCACAATTAAGAGACTTATTCAGAGGAAGAAAAACTTGACCCTCTTCAAAAAGGCAATGTGTACCAGATTACTGGTTGAGGTTGTTAATATTGTGGAAAGACTTCAAATCATTTTGTGAGGATATAATGTGGATCAAATCAGATTGAGGATGAGTGCAAGAAATCAAAAGTATTTCAAATAGTCAAAGCTGTCCAGGATGCACTGGGTGACCTTGGGAGGTATTTCTGGCCCCTGTAGTCAAGCTAAGACTGTACAATCACTTGCTTGGATATTCTGCAACATTTCCAGCATTAGTTAGTATATAAATGTAGAGGTGAATAAAACCAACTTCACCTTTGTATTACGGAGTTTTCATACTGTAACATTTAACCAACCTTAGTACTACTGTCCTTAGTAAACATATCAAAGATTTCTCATTTATGATCATCTGTATTCCTTAAAAAGTAGCCATAAATGTTTTTGTTAATAACAGCCAGAATGGCATGACAACCAAGAAAATATCAAACATGATAATGTCGATTATAAACAATCATCTATAACAAGATCTCCAGCAGGTATGGCCCCTGGCGCTACTGCGTTCTTGCTCTTGTCAATCGTTACTACCTGAGTTACTTACTCTAAGTACTGTAACAGAAGTCGGTTAGTGGAGAATAATTTACACAGAACTGCTGAGTCATTTGTCTGCTCCAACCCTACATTCCAGTACATAAATTACCCTATAATGAATTCTGTATATTCTATGGAGTTGCCTGCATCATCTTTCAGTCTGAAGATATCTTCTCCTTACAGTAGCCGTCAGGCAGAGAGGTACTCAGACTAGATAATTTTTAAGTTTCTTCTAATTATCAATTCTATGAGTCTGGGCTATGATGAGGAAGGAAGAGTGGTGTCTCAAGACCAAGGGCACAGTGGAGACAGAGATATTCAGTTCTGGTCCTGTGCCAACATTTCATACCTTTAGGTTAGCAAATTCAGTACTCAATCAAATATTTATTAAGCAGCTTCCAAGGCCCAGATACTGTCCTAAGTGTTGGGGGATTAGTAGTGACCAAGAATTTTAGATCATGACTTCATGGAGATCATAGGCTAACAATTGACCACAGACAAGCAACTGCAAGTTCGAAAAACTGGAGGAGTCTATAATAAGGGGATTTAGCAAAGTTCAAGTCAGGAGAGTGGGGAAAAGCTTTCGGGGAGAAATGATATTTTAGCTGAGACCTTAGGAATGAATAGGATCTCCTAAGTAAAGAAGAGAATAAAGTAGATCATTGTTAAAGTTCAATGTGTGAGCACCAAGCCTCGGGGACCTGGGGTAATGTGTCAGCGAGATAACCAGAGATGCAGAGCTGAACTGTAAAGGAACACTTCATTACACAGGTGGGCTGGGGGGGTACAGCTTCCCCAGATCCTCAGCAGCGATTCTTCTTGCTCATCCAATTTTAAAGACAGAAGCCCCATCCCCCTTTTGCACCCCCTCCCCCAGGGGACCGGTACAATAGTGGTTGTGACGGGGATTACCCAAGTCAAAATTAGCATTATTCACCAGGCTCACAAGTACCTTCAAATGCCTGCAAATAAGGATCCTTGGAAACTGCAAATGCCTCCCAACACGTGGGGCAACTATAACTTAGGCAAAATTCCTGTACTTCTAGGGGTATTAATCTATTATTGGAAAAATGTTGAGCAAGGTCCATTGATGATAAAATGGAATCTAGTCGCCTTGGCCTCAGGGCCCAGGTCAGACGGGAGCTCTTTAAAAGGTAGTCAGGTCTCAGTATGAGTATAAAAAAATTTTTATGCAATCTTTCTGTCTTATTTTATTTTTATTATTTTTATTTCTTTATTGATTTTTAGAGAAAGAGGAAGGAATAGGGAGGGAGAGATAGAAACATCAATGAGAGAGAACATCAATTGGTTGCTTCCTATATGCCCCGCACTGGGTATCAGGCAACAACCTGGGCGTGTGCCCTGACCAGGAATCAAACTGGCGACCTCTTGGTGCATGGGTCGACGCTCAACCACTGAGCCACACTAGCCAGGCTGAAATCTTCCTATTAAAAAAAAAAATAATTAAAACAAAGGGGGAAGCCAAGGTCATATGCATAATGTTCAGAGTTTCAAGGGTGAGTATATCAGTTAGGTTCTCTGAGAAGCAGATGCTGGAGTTAGGAATGAAAGAGGTTTAATGTGTGTGGGTGTGGGAAGGGGGTGGTAACGCCTGTGAAAGATGAAAGGGGAAGAAAGCGGAACGAGCAAGGTGAGCCTGGACCAAGATGCGGAGCTGGCCCTGCTAACTCAGCAGGGAGCTCTGAGCTCAGAGCAGGCACTGTGCCCAGCCTATGGCTGTAGCTGTCCAGGAGGAGCACAGGGCCTGAAGTCACGGCAGCTGGAGGCAATCAGTTAACTGTACCTGTTGCGGCTGAACACAATTTCTCTCTTGAAAGGAGGTCCTGAAAGGAGGTCCAGGGCCTACAGTGAATGTACTGGTCAGCCAAAAGGTAACTGTGTTCCGGTGGATTAACCCTGTCTATAGATAGTACATTTGGCTTACTGAGCCAAGGAAGGTCATTTCCTCCTCCCTACCCCCACCCTCACTGAGCCCTCCCAGTCCAATGGCATGGTTCTCAGGGCATGGTTTTCTAGTACTCTGAACATCTGATTTTCATTCTGGCTCATGGATTGTGATCCCAATGCAACCCCATTTCTCTGTCTGCCCCATGAATCTTACTCAGTAGAGTGGTCTTCCCCAGCCCCAGATGAAAACCCAGGCCTTGGATTCAGGTTTCCGTTCAGAAATGAGAAATTTCTGTCCCATGTACACACAATTCTAAGTTTGAATTAGAATCAAACTCCCCTTGCCTTAGTTTGGGTCTGTTTCCTGCTGGAGCCTAGAGTAGGGGTGGGTGGGCGTGGGGGGTGAAGAACGGAAAGCTCTCTGCTCATCTTCAGCTGTCTCCAACACCACCTTCTTCTCAGCTCACCTCCCTCAATTCATGTTCCCTCCTCCGAGAGGGTGGGCAGGCAGGGGAGGTGATGAAACTGCCCTTGCCTGGCTGAATGGCTTTGCTCTCTACAGGCTGGCAGATGGTTCAGATGGAATATTTTCTCTTGAAAGGCAATTTTATGGGTGCTTAAGAGTTTCTACTGGTTCCCTTTCCTACCCTTGACCCAGCCAGGGTGGATGTATCTCTATTCTGAATGGTCCTTTGAAACGTCTTCCTCAGGCCCTGAACACCTTGGCTATACATCTCATCTCCTTCCCTCACCCCTTCTTCTGCCCTCATTTTATGGCACCCACACCAACCAAGCAGGCTGTGTCTTGTGGGTGGCCTCAGTTGCTCACTGTAAACATTTCTCACCCTGACAGATTCCAAGATCTACAACACAGCACCATGTTTCTGGCTGCCTCATAAATCTGTGGAGTCAGATTTCAGTCCACAATGGTTTTAGCTCTCCCAGGCCAGATGTAGGCTCCTATCTCTGATGTAGGCAGACACTCACCTACATGGCACACATTTGAGATCTCTCCAAGTCCTCTTCTTGAAGTCCTCCCATCCAGCTCCTGATCAGAGATAAAACATTGCCTGTCCTTTGGGGAAGAAGCGGGGATTCACAATAAAATAACAAGTGCATCAGGTTCTTAAATAATGACATTTGTTCAATATCATTTTGCTATAACATTGATGAGTAAGAAGTTAAGTCTTGCTTATATCAATTAGCCAATGGTAAAATTGTTTTTGTTATACATCTACATCATTTCACTTAAAGTCAAAGAAATTATCAACAATGTTAAGCGAGGATTTATTGTACTCCTAAAAAAATCTCTTTCTAATCCCCCTTTATCAACTCTCTATCCATGAATGATAGGGTTCCCAGAACAGTGATATGGGTTCTTTTTCTTTTTCTTTTTCTTTTTTCTTTTTTTGGTACATGCCCCTAGCGGAAACCGAACCCAGGACTCTCTGGTCCGCAGGTTGACACTCCAACCACTGAGCCAAACCAGCCAGGGCTATGGGTTCTTTTTCATTCCCCTTGTGAATTTCACATTTCACAAGGGGAGGTCTCCCTCACTCTGCCTTTGACCTCCTGATACAATCACATGGACACTTTAGTGTAACCATAGCAGGAAGAGTCCCAGCTGACATCTGGCTTAGAGCACACACTTAGGGTTCCCTCACCACAGCCTTCGATCCAGCTGATCTCCGCCCTGCTCTGGTGGACAGTTTCACGATTGTGCCCCTCTACCCTGAAGTATTCAGCTCTGCTTTTCTGCTTCAGGACTTTCTCTGAAGCAATGGAATGTCCTCAGCCCGCGCGCAGTGCAACCAGGAAGTGGGAGGAGAGTATACAGACCTCAGAGGCCATCCCGGCCAGGAGACTCTGAGTTGGTGGATAGATGTCCGAGCCTCCCTGCCCTT